CTGAGTGTCACAAGTTAGATATGTTGAGGTAAATGGTTGATATGTTTGCAAAGGATATATGTGTACACAGATGAACTAGTTGGATCAGATGATATAGTTGGATCAGATGAATAGTTGAAGGGCTTGATACATTTGGATCAGATGATTGAACATGAATTGCTTCCCAGGGGGCCCCGAAAAGTTCACGAGCCCATATATATATATGCAAATCATTCTGTGAATACGAAGACAAGGAGCCAACTACCAATAGACCAGACCAACCAAAGGGGAACTATGCCATGCAGGAACATAAGCAATACAGCTAGAATCGACTATGACTCGAGTATGTTTGCTAGGCAAGGGTAGGCGCCAATCAATTCTGTTATATACATTGTAAAATGTAAAATCGTTCTGGGGTAGGTCCATGGAGGGTGAGCACCATAAAACTACATGGCAACGAGCGTTTACGCCAGTGTGCAAGAGCATGTGCAGGTGAAAACCCTGAAAAGGAACACCGCCCAAAAAAGCTACTGTTTTGGAGGCATCAGTATGAAGAGGGCAGACGCCGTTCATCCCTGAGGTCAATGCTTAATGTTGTGCATCCGATAACACTGTTTTGATATCGATTCAACCACCCTGTGCCCCTATTTCCAAACAAATGGCCATGCAATCACAATGTTGTGTGGCCAATGATGCTATCTATGACATATTTATATGGATGTCAGTTGTCAGTGACATCATACGCATTGGCAGCATTGGCACACCTCTGAAAACGCCAGGCGACCTATCAATCCGAGGGCAACTATGTATATGGCTTTTGGCCAAAATCCCGGTAGGTTGACCTCCTGAGTATAGTCTATTCTGCTCATTTTCGCTGGTCAACCAGGGTCCCCCAGTTTTGACTTGACCCACAGCCATACATACATTCATACATACATACATAAAATATACTTGAGCCTGAATGACAGAATGACCTCTTCTACATTGACATTAGACAACCACCCAGAATATGGTCCTTTTCCATCAAAACAGGGGTTCACATGGGCTTTAGGAATATAATTAATGGCAGTACGTTGATACAGGCAACTGGTGACTTTAGTGCCCAACCGGTTGGAGACAACTGTGCACTAAATATATTATGTCGTGGGAGCCCGGTGCGAGAACCAGGCACGAAAGTCCGCTGGAGATCGCCTTGCGCTTGGGTGCTGCCGAGATAGCTCCTTGACAGGGTTGTACATCCTCCTGTGGAATCAGGGTGGTCCACCATCAGCTTAAAATGCTTTAGGTCGTTCCCTTTTGGGTATGATTTTACAGAGGATTGGGAGGCACCAGCCTCACATTACATGATTTCTTGTTGTTTAAGAAAGGGAGTCAGGCAAAATGATTCTATAGAGAGCACGGTATGTAGGCAGCTAGGTTCATCATTTCATATGTTGGCACTGGGTCTGGTGCCATGATTTTATAGAGCCGCTGCATTTTACAAGCATCTTAGGGGTCCTGTTTGTGGCCAATTTAAATCTACAAAATCAATGTGGGGAACCCCCCACCTGGTTATACAACCCTGTGCTCCTTGCCCAAAGGAACTCATCTATGTCCGACAGTCGTCAGTTCGTACCTGAAGGGCAGTCTCATTTGTCTCATGCAAGGGTCAAAACACGACTTTGGAACCGAAAACTACTCTTGGTTCACCATATCACAGGGGCAAGCATGGATGATTTAATTATTATTGCACATTCACGTAGGGCTACTTCTAGCTCAGGAGTGCATCGAGGGACCAACCAAGAAGAGACGCCATCATTGGGTGAGACTTGATTCGTCTTGCTAAGCTTGGCGGTTGCTGATTTCGGGAAGTTGGCCTGACTAGCTGAGGCACAGCTCTTGCAGAGCTCAGCCGGGTAGCAGGCGGCTGACCGGTGGTCACAGTGTGGATAATTGTTGTCTGGCAAAGGAGAAAGCATGTTCAGTTGCTTTTTTTCCGAAGTTCCATATTGTTCCTATGTCAGTCTTCATGTGGATTGTAATCGTTGTAATGTTCAATTTCCTTCCGCAATTCTTGCTTCTCGGCCAGGCACTGACTGCGAACTTCCAAGCAGGCCTAAATCACTGAATAAATCTGAAAGAATCGGGTTCCATCGTGCAGAGTTCTACATACAGACGACGCCTCATGCCACCAGAACGAAACGGCCAACATTTGTTCAAACAAACAGGGAACTAGGGGACCCGTGAGCCTTTGCCACAGTCTCTGTCTATGCCTTTTGTACCCTGAGTGTCAGAATTTTGTCAGAATGTTGATTAGTTCGTCAGTTGTCAGTACTTCCTGACAGGGGTGCTATGGCGAGCACGTGTGGGACCTCGCGAACAAACACGTGAGTCAAAAGGAAGGGCAATAAATGCTACCTTTCTTTAGCAGAGGGTTCTCCCAAACAACGACCTGTGGAAAATCTACAGCACATCCTGCGCCAGGATTGGGATCAAATGAAGCTGATCACCAACACTTGAAACAGCACTCAGGTCACATCCGGAGGTGCCCCCAACACCCTGGGATTGGTAGCTGGTAGGATTGCGGTGAAAATCCAAAAGCTAGCGTTCCGGTTTTAGTAACAAACATCCCAACCCACCGTTCTTGTCAATGAAGTGCTGTCAGTAGTGCTGTCCATCAGCCCGATAGTGGTGCAGCAGACACAAAAGAACGCAAATTTGTGGTGGTGTCCCCTGTCAACTGATCCGGCCTTAAAAACATCAATGTAACACTGCCTCTGCCTTTGCAGCTTTGGAGCATTTTGTGAGGAATGGATCAGTAAAAGACGTGTTCCACACACACAAAAGACGCGGCATCTCCTTCTGAGGCCAGGTCAAGGGCAACTCATCGATGGTCCCGAAGGAGCACGGCGGATGACGCGTAGCCATGGCGTAGCACGGCGTATAGCCATGGCGTAGCACGGCGGTAGCACAGAGACGACTGGGTGAAGAATGACGGATGGATGAAACATGATGAAGCCACACGGACTGTGGCCGCAACAGGCCGGGGGGCGCTTCTTCCAAGCCAAAGTGCTTGTCAGAAACTTGTGTTTCTCCGCTGTCGGGAAAACACTTGTGTGTGTGTCACCCTCCGTCTCTAGGAGTCTTTCCCAGTTTTTCTGTGTTCTTTCTCACACAACGCAGGGGGCCATCCCCCTCCCCAGTGGCCATCCTCGAAGAGGCCACTGGGGAGGGCTGCAAACGTACCTGCGGAACTGTTGCGCAAGCTGTTCTCCTTTCGGTTCGCTTGTCATGGTGGTTCTCATGCTATTCCCCTAAACCTTCCTCTTTTTATCTGCTAAGTATTCAGTAAAGTGCTAACGCGTCAACACTGGTCAACATTTCAGTTAAGCCGACTTTGCGCCTTTCCGTTCCCTCATCCACTTCACTGTGGATTATGGAAACTGCAAACCCTGTGAGAAAGTGTGTAT